CTGAGGTGGCTGATATTTCTGCTCTGGTTTTGTGTTAAAAGTGTCCTAATGGGCTCTGTCCGTGGCTGTTGCTTTAACAGACATGTTATTGCTCTGCCTGGAATGTCACATATGGTTTAAAATGTCACATTCTTCATTTGTTGATGCTTTTAGTGCTTTAAAAAGCACTCTTGTTGCAATGGAAATATACTCCTCTCTATTTATGATGTGAATGGTGAGTTTAATGCCATAATGTGGAATATTAGACCTTAGTGCTCTGTTCAGTACTCCATAGAAAATAACCTGTCAGCCAGAATAGTTTTTTTCGAGCCCACCTCAAGACCTTCTCCGCCGACTCCCACTGATGTCTGCTGTTGTTGTGTCCTTGGCAAGACACTTAACCTGATGCCACAGTGGGGCGGCTGCGGCTGTAAAGTGCCAAACTGCTGTTGTGTCCTTAGGCAAGACTCTTCACCCCCATTGCCGAGAATGAGCCTGGTGTGTGTGTGAATGGTTGGTGGTGTTCAGAGGGGCCAATGGCACATACCGGTTGCCTCGCTTCTGTCAGTGTGCCCCAGGGCAGCTGTGCCCCAGGGAAAGACTAATGACATGTGAAGCGTCTTTGAGTGTCCAAAAAAGCACTATATAAAACCAATGCATTTTATTCATTACTATCTCTCTTTAGGATTCATGAATAGTATCTTCATTGAAACAGTGTTTTTCTTTTACAAATAGATTCATTTCTACGGGTGAACATTGGAAAATTAGAATATTGTCCATAAGTTCATGTATTTCAGTATTTCAACTTAAAATAAGGAACTAATATAGGATACAGACTCATTACATGCAACGTGACATATGCCTTTGTTATATTTTTGATAATTATGGCTGACAGTCCATTTCCGAAACATTCAAACGTTTGTCTTATCTAGGATTTATAAGCTGTGAGCCAATTATCAACATAACAAAAACAGTCGTGCGATATCTCATGCTGCCTTTAACCAGTCTGTTATAGCTTCACATTTTAAGTTAAGTAACAGAAGTAAATGGAACGAGTCTAATTCACTTGTTCGTAAACTTTTGAATTGTCAACACTTCATAAACTCAGATGCAGGTTAATGTATAGTAACATGAAGACTTTTATTGCAAACAATAGTGATTTTATAAAAGGGACTTGTTAATACCATTGTTCAAAGAATCAACATCCATCACATTTCATGGAGTATAAGCGCCGCCGTGACTGCGTAGACGCGCTCACAGCCGTCCAGGCGGTCACGGCCGCGCCTCACATTGTTATGAGTTGGAACAGCAGATATTTTACTTTTTCATTGTCAAAGAACTTATTACTGGTGGTCATTAAGAGGTATGTACTTTAGACCAGATCCAATTCAAACCAAAGTTGCAGAAAGAAAAGAGTGTCCGTTATTAATGAGCAGTTGTAAAATGGCCACCTCAAAAACACAGGTTAACTTGGACATGCAGCACAACCATACTCTGCACATCGTCAAACACTCAGTGTTTAAAAACTAGGACTAGACTGGCTCCTCTATTTTCTCCAAATATACACACAATGATTCAGCTCTATAATACTGTTATATTGGTTCACACTCTCCCGTTTCAAAAAGTAGAAACAAACACAATTGCAGAAAGGTCAGGACACTGTGTGCAAGGAAAGTACAACTGAAGAAGTGACAAATCTAAAACGTAGCAGGCGGTGTAATCAAGGCTGATGTGGCCATTTCAGGATCATTCAAACACGACCATGCCTGGATCACCCTTTTGTGCAATTATGAGGTGAAAACCCACGCACATATGTCACGATTCCATTTACCTCTTATTATTGAACATTCTGTACAAGAGCAGAGCTAATCACAGTGCTCCCAGTCCCTGTGTAACCTCCATTCACATGTTTCTGACAAGTCTGGCATTTACACAACTCCAAGTAGCTGCTAAACTTTCAATGAGTATGTTTAAAAGTATTAGAATATGGAGTGTTTTTTTTTTTTAACTACACCCTGCTGAGACGCTAGAGCATTATGACGCTTTCAAAGGCTCGTCGTCTTTAACTTTGCCTCAGCGCTCACATTTTGGAACTTTAATAACACTGCTATTGTACACCGTGTAAGTACACTCTTGGCACACGTAATCCTCCATGTCTTGTGTATTTTGCGCATTTGATAAAACAGCACAAGTCATGTCATTTCCGCAGTAAAACCAGAACTGGGTTTCCTGCTTTAGCCTCAAAACAATAACAGACTGAATGTCGCCTATAAGCGCCCACATTTCATACATTTCCGTTATAAGCACAACTTCTCGCTGTGCTCTTAAATGCATCTGCCGTGCTTGTCTCAGTAGGATCCAGTTTGTGTGGTTAAATGCCAACGTAACCGGAGTAGAAGTGGTTCCATCCAGTTACGCCAAAGGGACTGCTTTTCCACATCTGTGTAGTTTGCACAGTGGCATGTTGCACTTTATTTCTTATCTTGGGTTTTTACTGAAATGAGCTCCGAAGCCTGAAGGTCGTGGGTTCGAGCCCACCACAAGTCTTTCTTCACCAACTCGCACTGATGTCTGCTGTCGTTGTGTCCTTGAGCAAGACACTTAACCTCTGGGAACACCAGCCTCAGTGGGGCGGCTGCGGCTGTAAAGTGCCGATGACAAATACTGGTTTGCTTGCTTCTGTCAGTGTGCCCCAGGGCAGCTGTGGCTACAGTAGTAGTTTATCGCCACCACAGAGTGAATGAATAGACATGTGAAGCGTCTTTGAGTGTCCAAAAAAGCGTTATATAAAACTGATGCATTTTTATTATTATTAAACACCTTTTTTACCACTTTTTTCCTTCATTTATCTGTTGTGTTTTTATTGTTATTTGTGTAAATGTGTAAATTTGTATGAATATTTTTGTGTAGCCAAGTCCCTCTCTTTTTAACTGCAAAAGAAATCTACCCATGGGTACAAATAAATCACCTTGAACCTCAATACACAGGTTTAATAGAATCAAATTGGACTAAAAAAGGGAAGTGCTTTGTAAACATACTCAGTGTCATGACAGAAATCAACGTCATCAGAATGATTCCTTCACAGTGTCCTAAACTTTATGGAACTGAGTTATACAGATTGCAAGTATTCATTTTTTAAACGTTTTCTGCCAAAGAAAAGAAAGAATAAGATCTCAACACAGTGATGGCATCTAAAAGGAACTCGACAACATTGTGTAACTTATGCCACTTTGTGATTCATTTGAAATAATATCACATAGTTTTACATCTTTCATTGTACATTGTTTTCATAAAGTAAGATAATAAATATACTTTTGAAACATTTTTCATTATAGCTTAACATTGAAACAAGATCGTACGGTACAGCGGTTTCATAATTGGTCAAAAACAAGCTGATTATAACAAGTACAAACAATAATGAAAAGAAATATATACCGCAGATTTTCAAAATAAAACACCACAATAACATTTCAGAACAGTGTATTTGTGCTTTATATCTTCAACTGCGATGGCTATTTTGTAAGGATTTGCAGTCTGTAGTCAAAATACAGGTGTTATAAAAACTGGGGTAAATACCATATATGCTAACACACTGCGTTTTTCAGATACAACTCCGGTTTAGTTACTTTTATATTAGAATGTGATTATATATCGCCTAATCTGAACTCTAATGGATGATGCCCACTCAGCCGTTGAACACGCGGCAAAATGTTTTGTTTGTGGCTTTAAAACAAGTCAATTTTGATGCTTATGGTTCTTTAAGGCATTACAGTACAGTACCGTATTTTTCGTTTTACACCATGGATACTGAGAAATGACTTATATGCCGCGTTGAGAATACCAGGGATGGTTAGGGTTAGTTTGGGCTGCGTTTTTAAGACTTATTCGGAAGAAAAATAGGGGAATTCATATTTATTTTAGTTTGAAACGCCTTTTTTTCATATACTTATAGTGCAAACAATCCGTCTCATATTTTAAGGTAATGAAACAACATGGAATTTAGATTCGGTAATGGTGCAATAAGCTGCTCTGGAGTAATCATAAAAATACAAAAAAAACAAATGCAACGTATCATGCCAAACAGTGCTGCCAAAAACCCAAATAGCAGCGGGTTGTCGGCCAAAAGATACAAACATGAAGCATCCAAACTAAAAAAAATCCCAATAACTTACAAAATGTTCCCACCGCTGCGAACAGCTGCATTTTTTTCATAAACAAAATCAACTTTTGCCACTTAATGGTAACATTCAAGTCCCAAGGTATGGAGAATATAGTATATTTAGAAATGTAAACATGTTTCCTCCCTTTACTGTACAGAATGATGCGGTCGTGTTGTTCGAATGAGAAAAGCTGGTCCCACTTGACAAACGAAGCCTACACTATAGTAAAATATAAAGATACAGATTACATTATACTTTGCTACTTCGACGGCTGCCTGATCAGAGCTGTTCGGCAGGTAGAGTAACGCAAAAGGACCCATTTTGTAGAATACGACAACTTCACCACTGCATCCATCTATATAAGACAACACAGGTCCCCCCGAAGCCCCCCGCCACAAATTGTACTTTCATTTTTTTCATTATTTTTTTCTATAGTAATACCAATTTGAAGTACACCTCATAATCAAAATTGGTATCGTGTCGGAATCTATAAGTCTTTGTTCCACAAGCCATAATACATTCAGTACAACATTGGTAGGGTAAATTCTGCGCAAAAAAAAAAAAAAAAATACTGTCGGAATTTCGCACCTCTTTGCGACGGAGGTGTTGCAAGTAATCGGACGTGACAGGAGATGAGGTGTCGCTGAAAATTCTAGAAAATAAAAGTCGAAATGATAAAAAAATCATAGCATCATATAGTATTTACATGACATAAAATTCACAAAAAAAAAAAAAAAACTGATTATTTGATCCAATCGGTTTTTGTTTTTAACAGACAATATTCGACTCCAGCCATTAGCAAATGTCAGAAAAGGTTGATAAATGCTCTGGACAGTCTTTGTAGAGTGTTTGGGTCCCGGTTCAGTAGACGCTGATGTAGGACGACAGGGCCAGGACGAGGTACCGGCAGGCCAGCGGGGCGTCCGAGCTGCCGGTGCTCCCATAGGGGGCAGTGTGGGGAGCTGCGGGACACAAAACAACAAGAGACGTGATTAGTTTTGATTGCACTTGGAGCGCCCTGTGAACGCAAAAGCAGTAAATAGCTTCGAAAGGAGGTTGTGTAAGCACTCAAAGTACCAGGGATTCTTGGAGCTGGTAAAGGAGAACATATTTCAGCTGGATAAAACATAAGACACAGCGAAATATGGGTAGCGTTAATAATAATAATACGTACATGCCATTGCTATTTTGTACATGTGGTGATTGCAATGTATGTCGAGAATTATACCATACCTATCTTTGAAACCGTACATACTTGTAAGAAAGAGCCCTCTGAGTCACGATTTGACACTGGGTTGTGAAGTCAAAAACATGCGCAAAAAATAGTTATAGAGCAAAACTGTTTCGAGAGCAAGGTAAACGTTAGGGGAAAGCTTAAAGTTAGGTTCCCCAGCTATACTCCCATATATTTAGATTCTATCTGATGTTTTTTGTTGAAATTCAACTACTGGGAAAATCTCAGCCTTGAATAAGTCATTTTACATGTTTTTCATAATAAAAATAAGTTCCATCCTTCTATTGGGATTTATGACTGGTGCTGAATATCAAACTCATTATCTCGGAAAAACCAAGAACACTGGCAGAATGTCATCCAAAGGGAGGTGCTTATACCAAAACCAAAAAATAAACTTGAAAATCAAACCATGAAAACACATAAGAAATGCATGAGATGAAAGACCCAGGAGTCATTAGTCCGTAGGAGAACAGTTTATTCAAGCAAAAACACAATAAAACATAAAGAAAAGCTGTTACTGTGGGATTGTTTGTAACGTGTCAGAAACAGAGGCGCAAAGAGGAAGGTCAGCTGACGTTTTAGGGTTGTGTTTTACGGGCACTTCCAAAAGAGCCTGTGTCTGTCGCTACATTTACCAGATCTATTTCATATTGCCATTTCAAAACCAAGAAAGGGCATTTTCAGTCTCAACATAAGGTTCAAGCATCATGAGATTAGACCACAAAGGTTAGTATCCAAGCCCCTCTGTCATTTAAGCTGCAGTGATAGAGTAATCCCAGAAATATACGGCCAATTTTATAAGGTCAAAACAATAATCGTATTGGGCTTGCAACATATTACCGCTCAGATACAGAAGAACAACAAAAACTTCAAAATGACAATGTCTTTATATAGCTGGGTTTTATTTCCCCTTTGTCTCGTCCAAATTGGAGCCAACAGCCATCGGAGGTATGTCTGAGGAGCATCTGGACAAGAATCTTTTCGGGAATCAGGCGGTTTCGGTAAGTGTATATGTTGTTCCGGCCGACAGCCAAAGCCACAGCGATATGAGCTCGGTCCCTCCAGAGAACCTTTCATCTGCAAGAACTGCTGCTGCCTCCTTCACATGTGAGACAATGCTTTTTAGGCTCGTGGCTCAATAACGCACACCTCACAGGTTACCGCACGGAGGTATATGCAGCTAGCTTCGTGTACAGGTCATTCAGAGCAAGGCGAGGCAGAGTAAACAGGCCGAGGTGCACCAGGGGAAATCATGCAGTGCACAGTCCATATCAGCGGGGCGCCTGCTATTTACACGGCCATGTAATTAGTTCATATTGTAGCTCCTCTGATGCGGACTTGGACTCACACAAACCGGGCTATGCGGCTGACGACATCACATTTGCAGGAAAAGGTCACTTATGAGCGGGAAAATGACGGCTATTTCCTCGCGCCGGGGTCTGGACAGGTGAAGGGACCGACACAGATGGTGGCGTGTGTTTCATGAGCCAATTTAAAGGTGAAATATAATTCACAATGTACCTTTAAGAGCTTCCAACCATGTTTTAGTTATTTCATTCATCTTTGATCAAATAAAAAAAGTTGTTTTTTAGTGGTTAGTTAGTTATTTATCTTCTTCAGTGATCAAGACACCGTTGGTCTTTTTGGCTCCCTTAATTGCCACGGCCGGTACACAGCTACTGATATTTATGTCACTTATTATTTTCTTAAACTATGATCCTGGGATTATTCTGCATCACATTGACCTTTGAAACAATATGGTGTAGTGCAGTGGTTAGTGCTTGTGTTTGTGCTTCATAGCAAGAAGGTCCTGGGTTCCATACAACATTCATGCATTTCTGTGTGGAGTTTGCTTGTTCTCCCATTGTCTACATAGGTTTGCTCCAGGTGCTCCGGTTTCCCCTACCACTAAAAACATGTACAATAGTCTGACACGCGCCTCCTGAATGGAGCCCCCACTCCCATCTCTGTGTGAGAGCGAGAGTGAGAGACAAAATGACTAAAAAACAACACATTGTAGAACGCTTTGTGGTTCTGGTTTGTGAAAGGTGCCATTAATAAAGATTACTTAGTTACTTACCCAGATAACTACCCTATTTTAAGATCCCATAATCATGTCAATACATCCAACAGCAGCAAGTAGATCCTACACAGAATAAACCTCAGAACTGATTCTTTTGGAAAAGAATTGAAGTATTTTTAACATTGGTACTTATAGCTACATTTAGTTCCCATTGCAGTTCAGTGTAAGGTTATACTGGACAAACACGGCACTAGAGTCTGTTTCCTGATCTGTCCAGAGTTTCCTTTTGTGATTGCACACAGTTGTCACAAATAAAATGAGAACTTTTTTCCTTTTCTCCAACAGCTGGTCGGCGACAATTTCTCGTACAAGGCGACAGCATAAGTATAAATAGAGGAAAATTGTTCAACCCATTACAGAGTGACAGCACTGCTTTTACTGAGCATTTTTCTGGCGTTTTGAGTTGTTTATATATTAGTGAAAGCTATACTGACAGATGTGCGGAGCAGGGTGAGCGTACAATTCACTCTGGCACAAACAAGAGGTACGGTTTGATGATGTTGGTGATGGGGGAATGGTGGGCTCTGTGAAAAATGTCATCCACCTATACACAAGCCCCCCCCCCCTTTTCACTTCCATCTCTCTTTTGTACATTATTGTCTCTCTCTCTCCTATCCAGCATACTGGATAATGACACAATTTTTGCAGGCTCTGGAAGAGAACGGAGAAGCAGTAACCATGGCAACAGCTCGTGTCCTGTGCTCAGCTGGCCCGTTGTTGCTGGAGTGTGCTTTCGGTGCTCACCCCTGTAGCATCATCCAGGGTCGGATTGCTAGTTAGCGGGGAACAGGCAGATGTCAACCATTCCCTACTTCCCATTAGAAGACTTTTTGGCAAATAGTGGAGAGATTTCCTGGGTAGAATTGCAGTTTAATTTATGGCGTAAAGTACCAGTTTCTTCCATTTGATTTTATATAAATCAAATTGATATAGTCCTGCTGGGTAAACCTAGATCTAAAACTGACAGCTGTTTTTTTTCATATTCTTTCAAAGGGCACTTTACCCCCTTTTAAGTGGGGGTAAAATGATTCAGAATATTGCAATTGGTTTTGATTCACAAATTATTGCAATTCGTCATTCCCCATAAGAAATGTAATGAATATTGATCATATTTCCACACTGCTTTGTTGACAAATGCTATGGATGATTTATATACTGAAAACTGACTTAGGATTTCTCATATAAGTCAGGTACAGTATGTACAGGTGAAAAGAAGAGAGGGAACCAGTCATTTCAAAAGGCATTTCAAGTTATTCACAGATTCATAAAGTATAGATTCTAACGTTTCCACAAATGTATCACATGTTGAAATGTGTAATATTTGAAGGCCTGGTGGTCATTTGAAAGTGAGGTCAAAACTTCCCCTTTTTCAGTCCAGTTCAGGTGGAGGGAACCAAACATAGTACATTTGCATCACAATAGTTTAACAAATATTGTTATCTTCATGACTTTCTCATATGACTTGGGGCCTCTACGGCCTGCCTCATGTCACCTGCAGTGGTTTGTTTGCATGCTAGGCTCTGAACAGTTTCTCTGTTCAGTGGCGCATTAAAATGAAGATTAAAATGAAACACAAACACGTCGAAAACACGCGCAGGCTGCAAAACCTGACTGAAGTAACATAGGAAAAAAACACTTCTATCATACTTGAGGATTGAGAGTTTCATAAATATCAAATTGTTCCTTGGCATAAATCTCATAACAAGTATAAAAACAATTGTTCAAGTTCATTGCATTCAAATAAATACCAACCATCTTAGTCAGAATTACCAACTTTTCACTCTTTAACACAATTCTGTTTTAGTAGTGGGCCTCTTATTTTGACTGCGTGGGATGTGACTTGCCATTTTAATTAACTCCCCAGCCAGGAATTGCCTGCTACACCATTACACTGCTTATTAACATGAAGGGAACGGAAACGGGTGCGAAAGGGAGAGGGAAGAAAGAGATATGGGCAAATCAAAGTAATGGAGAACAGACTGCAAGAAGGAGACAGTGATTGAAAGCAGTGCAAAAATGGTGGAAGCAACAGAAGTCCCAGCTATACTTTGTCTTTGGAGGTTGAATTTAATTGCCATGTACATCAGCACACGACTACAATGAGGAATTCAACACAATATATCATAGAGAAACATTGTCAAGCCGCTACTAAGACAAGTGAGGCTCTATAGGGACAGGCGCTGGAGAGATAAGTCCAGATGGAATATTCTGTGCAACACAATTGAAATGCAAGTGCATTAAAACAAAGTCTAAAATCAATGCAATTTTGTATTTGCATCACCTGGAGGCTTTCTATTGCCTCCAGGTGGCTCTGACAAGCTGCCTCAAAGACCTCAACTGTATCTCACATACCATATGCACAACATAATGCTAAGGGCCTGAACTATGGCCGCTGTTGACAGAGATAATGAATCATTCGGAGAGAAGCAAGAGTGGCCCTCGACGTCTGTTTATATTCGAGGAGCAAGTGAGAATTTTCATTCATTATGTAACCAAGCTTGTTGTTTCATATTTGAGAGTTCTTCATGTTGTACTGAAGGTGTAAATTGATTCTAGTAATATAATATTTACTAGATAGCAATCAAACTGACTGCCCTGATTCGAGTGTTCTAATCCAGCCCTTGAGCTAGAGTACAGTCTGACGTGAATGTACTCATGGATATAATTAGGCCCGAGCCCCGAACGGGGAAAGGGCCTATTGTTTTTGCTCGAGAGATGTCAAATACTGACATCTCTGCGGTGCGGGTAGTCGTGCAGTGTGGCGAGGGCCGTTCGACGCCGCTTGCGGCTTTAATTTGTGTTGAATTTATGTTAGCGCCAAAAAAGGGACAGTGTGGCAGGGTAGAGTCCTACCCCTAATGCAAACCATTTAAAATATCTTCAAACTAGGCATGCCAAGATTTTTTTTAAATGGCTGACGATATATCGTCTTTAAAATATTACAGGGTATTGTTGGACTCTCGAAGTAAAATTATATTATTGACAACTTAAGAGAATAACAATGTGCCTATTTACAGTAAAGATGACATTACCATATTTTTCAGACTATAAGCTGCAGCTTTTTTTCTGCATTTTGAAGGCTGCGGCTTGAAGTAAAGTGAAAAGAGACCTGTAGATGTTGCTCCTCATCTTTCTGCTTCACACTGGAAGATTAAGAACAGTCAGTGACTCACTTCTTATTACACAAAGTAAAACAAAGACACAAAAAACGTTTTTGAGAATTTTTTTCCAATATCACAATGTGATATATAGGTGCAAGTAAAAAAAAAAAATCAATTTATTTCAAACGATTGGAGCCTGCGGCCTTTAATCTGGTGCAGCTACTCGTCCAGAATATACGGTACATTCAAATTGTATAGAGAATCATACATCTTTTAGTGATTGATAAATCAGCAGGTGTATTAGTTGCATGTCAAAATTGGCGATTGCATCTCCAAAATATAACCATTTGTTTATTGTGCCACCATTTTCTTCCAGATTCTCCCATAACCCTTTTTGAGTTTTTTGAAAATGTAGTCAAGGAATCATTAACCTTGAGATCGGAATTCACAAGAACGTTACATAATAGGGCTTGCAGCGTGGGTTGTGGACTTAACCAGCGATCAAACTTTTGTTTTTAAGAGAGGAGAGCTGCTCAGGGGGCACTGATGCAAACCGTCTCTGAGCGGCATCGAAGCGCAAGCAGCAGGCTGTCGCTGCATTGATCTGAGATTGATCTGCTCCAAGAAAGCAAACACGGGAAGTCACATTTATTCAGTTTCAAATTGCTTTATCGAACCATAACTCAAGATAGTAATTATTGTGACAGACCTAGTTATAACAATTATGCTAAGCACATGAACACAACTTTTGGAACAACATTTGTAGCTGTATTAATATACAGTAATGCATCAGTTTTATTCATTCACTCAATACACTAGGATGATGAACTACCATTGTAGCCACTATTGTCTTGCCTAAGGACACTAGGACAGTTTGGCACTTTACAGCCGCAGCCGCTCCACTGTGGCACCTGGTGTTCCCAGAGGTCTGCCATCAGAGTAAGTAAGTAATCTTTATATATATATAGCGCCTTTCACAGACCAGAGTCACAAAGCGCATTACAATTGTGGGCATTTGTCTCTCACTCCACACAGATAAGAGCGGGGTCGCCAGTACCGAGTGGTATTTAATGGTAGGGGAAACTGCAGACACTGGGAGAACATGCAAACTCCACTCAGAAAGGCCCTGTTCTGCCTAGATTTTGAACCCAGGAGAAGCGAGAGTCCTATCCACTCAGCCACCGCGCCACATAGTACTACCCTAAAACCTTCAAATCAGGTCAGATATCTAGGGGTAATACTGGACTTAATTCGAATAGTCACATCAAATCAGCAACTTTTTACCATCTAAAAAACATTGCCAGGATCAAAAACATAGTGTCTAAAGCAGACTTGGAGATTCTTATCCGTGCATTTGTCTCCAGTAGGTTAGACTACTGCAATGGCCTGCTCACAGGTCTGTCCAAACAGGCTGTAAAACAGCTGCAGTACATTCAAAATGCAGCAGCTCGAGTCCTGACTAGAACCAGGAAGTACGACCACATTAGTCCAGTTCTCAGGTCTCTGCACTGGCTTCCTGTGGCTCAGAGAATAGACTTTAAAACAGCTCTGCTTGTGTACAAGTCTCTCCATGGCCTCGCACCAAAATATATCTGTGACATGTTAGTCCCATATGAACCAGCCCGGACTCTGAGGAGCACAGGGACTGGACTCCTGTTAGTGCCCAGAGTCAGAACTAAACATGGGGAGGCTGCTTTTCAGATTCATGCTGCTAAAATCTGGAACAATCTTCCTGAAGATGTGAGACAGGCCTCCTCTCTGACAATATTTAAAACCAGGTTAAAAACAGTTCTGTTTAGCTGTGCATACAACTGAGGGATTTTATATTTTTATCTTTCTTTTTAATGTAATTATTTATGATTTTCATGCTTCATCTTATTTTGTTCAGCACTTTGAGTTGCAATGAATGAATGAATGTATGAATTGTGCTATACAAATAAACTTGCCTTGCCTACTAACCAGGCCCCGTCTTGCACAGCTTCAGAGGTCTGACTGGATCTGCTCTGACGGGATATAGCGTTCGCATGACCACGAGATCTGTAATGTTTGCATGTGTACGTTTGGAATTATCTTTGCATGTGGGAGAAATCTAGAGAACTGGATCTACTGCCATCTTCTTGCCAATACACATTTCCCCTTCATAGCGGTACTATACTGTATATACCAAGCCCCAAAAACTCCCAGAATCCATCGTGTAGTGTTGGACTGGGTGTTTGCCGTTTAGCCAGTGATTCATTCGGAGGAGTTGTTGCTGGTGGTGCTGTCCTCCGAGTGATCCGGCACAGAAGGCTGCACGGAGCCTGCAGCAGCTCAATCCCCGAGAGAGAGGGGCTTCAGAGATGGGCTCCGGTGTGTGTGTGTGTGTGAGCGAGTGGGGGATTCGCGGTGTCCTTGACCATCAATCAGTGGCCTGTGGTCCACCCCTAGAGAGAGCTCATA